GGTTGAGGAAAATGAAGTTAATAGAGAAATTCGCTCGAGAAAACCAAGTACTAGTCAATAGTAGAAACTAGCCAGAGGACATTAAAGAAATCCTGAAACAGATTGCTAGTGCATTTAAAGATGTAACCAAGAGATCTTCACATAGAGAAACCAATTGGGTTCAGGTCAAATCCTTCAAAGGTGAAGAGGATAAAGACCTAATCGAGTGGATTGAGGTCTTTGAGCGAGCTGCAGATGCAAATAATTGGGGAGAAGAGCATAAAGTTAAGATTGCCTTGGGCTATCTATCCAAAATAGCAGCCAATTGGTATAAGGGGAAGAAAAATAAGCCGCAGTATTGGGATAATGCTAAAAACTTGGATGCCAGCTTCAAGAAACAATTTGTAGATTACTTTGCTACGCCAGAACGATGCCATAAGTGGCAGGTAGACTTGGACAACTTAGAGCAAAGAGACAATGAGCGTGTAGATTTCTATGCTTATAAATTTAGCGTTTGTTGTCTAAAGTTGATGCTGATAAAGGCATTCTGGCTCCTTACGTTATGAGGATGTTCCTAAAAGGGCTTCGAGGAAACATTGCAGCGCTTTTGTCTTTGGCAGAACCGAATAATCTTGACAATGCTATTGTAATAGCCTGGAGAATTGAAGCAGATAGCCATTATGAAGATAAGAAAGGGGCTAAGTCAGTCTTAAGGGTGGAAAAAGAATTGGAAGATTTAACCTTTAAACTAAAGCAAATAGCGGCTAGTTACGAAAAACTCACTACCACTCTAGCTGCTACGATGGATACCCGTCCCACCCAAGATAGACTGTCTTGGCTACCAAATTCTAAAATTATTTGCTTCAATTGTGGTGAGCCAGGTCATATATCTAGGAATTGTCGGTCTGAAAGAAAGTCAAATGACTAAAGAAACTCCATCCAGCCCACACAAATTCTTTTCTGTCCTGGCAATGTTAACTATTGTAGGATAGAGGATAAGAATTACATTGAAAGTGAGGTTTTGGCTAATGACCAAGCCTGGTATTAACCTTATACTACTCAAAAAGGGCTAAGGCCGGTAAAGAAGTCCGAGTCAAAGTGGGAGGATAGGTTAAGGCGATGTGAACCAGAAGAGCAGCCCCAAGAACCATTGCCAATGAATAAAGAGCTGTATATCTTAGAGGAGCCAACTGTGACTCGCTCTAAGTATAGAAGGGACCATCTAGAGTGGATAATCTTGAACCATATAATGTTGTTCAAGACTTGTTAAACACTAAATCTAGTATCACTATAGGGCAAATGTTAAAATACCCTAACCAATGCCGTAATCTTGCCCAAGCCCTTTGTCGTCCTAGGTTATCTGTGGAGACTAATTATGCTCAACCCAAAGAAAATTTGAGGACCACAGCCACCCGGTGTTATGTAAAAATTAGAGGAAATCTAGTAGTAGCAATCCTGGACACCAGTGCAGCTGTTAGTTTGGTTACCAAACCTTTGGCAAATAAATTGGGACTTAAAATTGGAGTACCTTCTAATACTGTGATAATCACAGCCACAGGGGCCCGTGAACGAATCTTGGGGAAGATTGAAAACTTAAAAATAGTTGTAGGTGGCCTTTTGGTTTCAATAACCCTCCAAGTAATTGATTCCTGAGATGAAATGTTGTTGCTAGGTACCGATTAGTTCCAGAAATCAAAGGCCCATATGCACTTTGATGAAGAAAAGTTATACCTGACTTATCAGGTCAAACAACCTGCTTGGATATATCACATGTTAAGAAACATCAGCTTTCAAAGCCTGATGATAAAAGTGACGATGAGGACCTCTTTGATGAATTAAAATTTAAGGATGAACTGCTAGAAGAAGCTGAGGGCTATTATACCAGTAAGGCCTCGTCGGAAGAAGAGTTACATGTAAACTCTTGGGATGGGGCACAAAGTTTTGCGGCTATAGAAGAGAATAAGGTGGGGCATTATGACAAAGAAGATAAAGAAAAAAAAGAATTGGGTGAAATATGGAAAAAAGCACTAGATAAATTAGTAGCCCAGGAAGAAATAGGTAACAAGGGCCGGGATCAATCTGAATGGTTATTTGCTAAGTATGAAGATATATTTGCTAGAGGATTAGAAGATTTAGGGCAGACAAATATTGTTCAGCATTATATCAACATGGGTTCCACATCTCCTATCAAGCAGGCAGCCTATCGATTAGCTCCTAGTGAGCAGGAGTTTTTACAAGAAGAGGTTCGAAAAATGTTAAATACGGGATTAATAAGGGAGTCCTATAGCCCATAGTCATCTCCAGTGGTGTTAGTTCCCAAGAAGAATGGAAAATTACGGGTCTGTATTGATTATCAGAAAATCAATACAGTAACAAAGAAGGACGCCTATCCTATTCCAAGAATAAATGATATACTAGAGACATTCGAGAATGCCTCTTGGTTTTCCAGTTTAGACTTGGCCAGTGGGTACTGGCAAGTCTCCATAGCTGAACAAAACAGGGAAAAGACGGCCTTTGTTACCAAGTTTGGGGTGTATGAGTTTAATGTTATGCCTTTCAGTCTCTGTAACGCCCCGGCTACATTTCAGCGACTAATGAACCATGTGCTAAAGGAGTATATTGGGCAATTTGTTGCCGTCTACCTAGATGACATTACTGTCTACTCTAGAACTTTCTGGGAACACATGAAACATTTGAAAAGGGTCTTTTTCAAGCTTCATAGGCATGATTAAAATTAAATAGTGACAAATGTTACCTTCTTAGAAGGTCGTTAAAGTTTCTAGGCCATGAAATTACTAGGAATGGAATTAGGCCGGATAATGAAAAGGTCATCAAAGTCCGAGAATACCCGGCACCAAAGACTCTGTGCCAATTGAGAGGATTTTTGGGTCTATCATCCTACTATAGGCGGTTTATTAAGGGTTTTGCCTCTCTTGCTCAACTCTTGCATCACCTACTTTGGAAAGACATGCTATATGATTGGGGCGAGCCTCAACATAAGGCATTTAAAATATTAAAGCGCCATTTGACTACTGCCCCAATTTTGCAGTACCCAAATTTTGATAAGACATTCTATTTACACACTGATACTTCAGGGATAGGTCTCGGGGCCGTGTTGTCCCAAAGAGATTAAAAAATAGAGAGCACGTGATTGCATATGCTAGCTGAAGTTTAAGTCGTGCTAAGAAAAACTACTCTACCACTAAGTTGGAGTGCCTGGCGGTAATTTGGGGAATTGAGTATTTTCACCATTATTTAGGCATTAAGCCTTTTGTAGTGATCACGGACCATACTGCTCTTAAATAGTTGGAGACATCAAAATTGAAAGGAAAAAGAGTAAGGTAGATCCTCCAGCTCCAATCTTACATTTTTAAAATCGTACATAGGAGTGGTCAGGTGCACTCTAATGTAGATGCACTATCATGTCTCCCCAAAATAAATGATAATGAGAAAGAAAACCGGCCAGAAGAAGCTAGGGAGGCTTTTAAAGTTGATGTTATAAGTATAGAAGATAGTGAAGATAAATGGTATTCAGAAAATGAAGATTATAAAGAGAACTATGAGGATGAAGGGAATTACGAATTTGAGGTAGAAGAGATGGATTATGAAAGCACTGATAGTATAGAGGAACAATGGAATACGTGGGAGATGGATGAGAGTGAAGTAGTAAACATGAATCGGCGTGAACAAGGGTATGAACAATTACTACATGATTTCGAAGTAGAATCAGGTAGTAGGTTGTTATGGGAAGGCCATAGTGATATTGCCCAACAGTGGTGAGAATATGTGAATGAAAAAGGAGCTGAAATGTCAATTTCCCAGGACGAAGTATACTTAGTAGATGATTTAAGGGCCATCCAGGGTGAAGAAAGCTTCTCTGATATAACCCGGATGGAATGGGAGCACAAAAAAAATGTTCCTTGGTCCCTTACACCCGAAGAAGTTATAGAAGCCTCGGAAGAAGAAAATAACCCCAAGTATGAGGGTGATGAAGAATCATCTGATGGTAATTATTCTTCTTCTTTATAATAGGAAACGTTAGATGACGATGAGTCCCAAATAGAAGTTGTAATAAACAGTGGATCGACAAGTCTAACCACCCCAGAGGAAGAAACCTTGACCGAAGAGTGGAAGGTTAATAAGAGTCTTGCAAACCAAGTAAATCAAGAGGATGCAATGATGGATAAATTTATAAATGGCCAGAAGATGACCAGGAAGAAACCTTTGAGCCGCAAGCTATTGATATCGGTGCAGAGGGAATTGGTATTGAAAAGGATGAGTAGGCAATAGATATGGATGTGCCTATATATATACCTGTCATTCTTTTTACTAAGCTAACTCCTAGAAGACTCCAAAAATTGGTCTTTGCAGGGAAAACCCAGCGCTTCGAAAATGAGTTCTTCCTCTACGACCATTCTACCCTTAATGACCATATAGCAGCCCGGGAGCTCAATTTAAGTGAGGCCGTATATTGGGTAGATTTTTATGGCTATCCTTTAATTGCCAACGACCCAAATGAATTACTAATCCTGCAA